GGAAGCACAAGGAATGGACACACCAAACGTGACGGGGAGAGCTCATAGCCTACCAGCGATCAAACCCCTCACTCCCAGCCCCTCCATAGCCTCTCTGACTCCTGACAGCCTCAGAAACACAATTGTGTGTGCATGTAGGTGTGTGCACGTGTGTGTGTCACTGGTAGGTACATAATAGAAGGCGCTGGCAAAGACGCCCCTGCGCAAAGCCAGTGCAAAGCCCAGGTGGGCCCCCTCTGCTTCCCTCCTTCCTGGGATGCCCCATACTGCTGTTTGTGCCCCAGGACCAGGCCACTCTCCCTTGCTCTCCTGATTCAGTCAAAGCTAGACCAAGGCCAGACTGACAGAGGGTAGGGCCCAGGAGGGCTTCCGATACCCAGCTGACCCATCCAGGAGTCTGGCTGACCTCTGTACCCAGTTCTGTCTGTTCACAGAGGTGCAGTGGCATGTGGGGCTTGCCCTGGGAAGGACAAGCTGGGTGGATTTGGATAGAGGCTGGATGGTAGCATTTAACAGGCTCAGGGTGCCCAGTTGACTCCAGAGGCTGCTTACTGGCCCCGAGTTGGCCACACATCCACCAGGAGCACCACTCAAGGACTTCATCCCAACACAGCCCGCAGGGCCCACAGAGCACTGGGTGGCCTGCCCTGTACCCCTCTGGACACGTCCATGCGCTGAGAGTGCCATCTGGAGGGAAAAAGGGGGCGGTGCAGGGATGAGAGTGGTCCCCATCAGGGCCACCAACACCAGCCACAGGGACCAGCTAATGTTTTCTAGGAGCCAAGTCAACAAACATTAATATAAATAGATAAAATTAACATGAAATGTCAGCATTTCAACATACGGTCAATATAAAAAGTGACTCAAACTTTCACCTCTGTTCTTTCCACCCCTGCCTCTAAAATCTCATGTGTATTTCACTTCTCGGTTCAAACCAGCTGCCTTTCAAGAGCTCAGTCGCCACTGGGGCCAAAGCCAATGGCTGGAAGATCTCCACCCTTTAATGTCCATGCCTTGCACACCCAGAGCCCCACCTCCTTTCCTGCCCTGTGGCCTTCCCCACCCACTCCCAGACTCAGTCCCCACTTTAACTTCCTCACTTTCCTACCTGCATGTTAACAAAGGCAGATTTGATTCCTTATAAAAAAATCGAAGGATCTGAAATCTTATTGCCTTCAGGAGCATATAGGCTAAGCCCCACCTTCTCTAACCTGGACAGGTGACTCCATAAATCAGGGCTCAGGAAAAGAGCAGGCTGCAAAATAACATAATCCCATTTTTGTAAAAAGAGAAAAAGAAAACATTAGCAATACATTTACACAGAAAAGGTGTCTGGAAGCACTCGGCACAATGCTGATGGAGTTTCTGTCCCCAGGAGATGGGGGCATAGGGATGTCCATCTTACGCTTTTCTTTAAGTGGCTGGAAGGCACTGGGCTCTCAACCCTGGGTGCTGGGTGTGATGAGACTTTTCTACTCACCTGTGCTCACCTATGAGCCCCCAAACCCACAAGTGTGTGGGTCACTCACACAGAACAGAAACTTCAGTGAGAGTCAGGCTCTCTAATCTATCTTCTCTGATCCTGTCCAAGCTGATCACTCAGGACAAATGTAAATGGCCTTCCCCCTCCCCCACATCCAAGCACCCCTGGGTAACCTTGTTTTCACTAAGTCTCCCCTACACCCACAAAACTGAACTTTCTCTGAATGGCCACAATAGAAATCCTCTAGAATAAGGCGAGACAACACTCTGATATCTAAGATGCTCTCAACAGCCACGAGAGCAGAGTCCCATCACCAGTGGGCACTGTCATATGCCCTGGAGTTCTGACACCTGATAGATGCCCATCAGTGACCTGCTTCAGACCAGGCAGACCTCTGACCAAGTAAAGCCCAAGCTGCTTCTTGGCATGGGAGCTCAGTTCCAAAGCATCCCTAATGGACCCCCTGTCATCTCTGTGTCTCACAGAATGGAGAAGGGGAACAAGAAGAGGAAGGCTGACCAGAGAGGGTGAGTGCACACAGAAACCGCAACCTCCACCACAGCATCTAACCGAGGCCCAGCCTTGGCCTGACTCCCTGGCAGGTGGCTGCCAGGACAGACAGAGCCTCTGCTTATTCATTTCTACACTACACACTGTTTCAAAACTTGTACCCGACATGAAAAGCCACTCTAGCCTATCACCTTCTCCTACAGAAGACCAGCCAGGCTTACCTTAGAGCTCAGTTACATAAAACTGTGGTCTGTGGCCTGTTAGGAAGCGGGGTATACAGCAGGACTGGAGTGGCAGGTGACTGAGCAAAGCTTTGTCTATATTTACAGCTGCTCCCCCATCACTCACATGTCCAGCTGAACTCCACCTCCTGTCAGTTCAGTGGTGGCATTAGATTCTCACAGATGCTCAAACCCTGCAGTAAACTGTGCATTTGGGGGATCTACCTTGCAGGTCCTTATAAAAATCTAATGCCTGATGATCTGAGGTGCAGCTGAGGACAGAAGCAATACACTTCGGGTGTCACTGTCTCCCATCACCCCCAGATGGGACCATCCACTTGCAAGAGAACTAGCTCAAGGCTCCCACGGATTCTGCATTATGGTGAGTTGTCTAATCATTGCTTATCTATAACAACCTGATAATAATAGAAATAAAGTGCACAATAAATGTAACACACTTAAATAAGCATAAAACTATCCCTCCTTCCCCCAGTCCGTGGAAAAGTAGTCCTCCACAAAACCTATCCCTGCTGCCAAAAAGGTTAGGGCTGCTGGCATACAAGATAGCAAATGGTCACACGTTGCTCTTTGGTTTAAAAAGAACACACCCCTTTATTTTGGAAAACAAAACAAAACAAGAACATGGTCACCCCCAGGAAGGAAGGCGGGCAAGTGAGCCCAGCCTGGCACTGACCTGAACTTCCCGGTCCGCACCTGCAGCGCTCTCATTCCACACCGCTGGGCACCGCCGACATCACCCACGATATCGTCCCCAATCATGATGGCCTGTCACGGCAGTGAAATATGCTCAGAAGTGATGCCGGGGGAATTTTATTCCTGTGCTCCTTCATCTTTTTTGACATAATAAACTGCTTGATTTGATATTTAAGACCACCATCATACAAATTAAACAAGATAATATTGTCATCGTATTGATTAAAAGTCAACCTACCTTGAATATATCTCACGCTGCCCCCAGGGGCCATGGCTCTGAACGGTATGTATTTGTGCTATTTGAAATCAATCAGCAGACGTCAAAGTGATTTGGGGCCCCAAGGATGTGCGGGGACGCTGACGCTGTCTCACCTCTACTAGATTGCGGGCTAAATTTCACCTGATCCTGAACACCACGTAACCCTTGGTTCTGGGAAAACTAAATAAATCTCTGGCAAATCTCTGCGAACTTTGATTTATATAGGTTTTGCTTTCAATAGTGAAGGTACTGCCTGTAAAAAGAAAAAATAACGTACAAATGAAAATACACACAGATGTACACACAAAGAGGAAATGCTCACAGCCTGCAGATCATTTTAAAAAGCAGCCTCGCATTTGAAACAACCAGAAAACCAGACAAATCCTATGAAACAACAGTTTTCAAGACACTGGGCACCATGCAATGAAGGACAATGACAGAGGTAACAAACAAGGTGAGCCTGAGACTGCCCTCAGATCACCGCCTGGGACTTTCCAGACTGGATGCAGGGAGGGTGCTGAGGGCTCGAGTGTGTGTCTTTCCAATCCAAAGGTTGAGCCCTAATCCCCAAAGCCATTGTATTTGGACAGAGGAGGAGGACAAATAGGGAGGTAATTAAGATTAAATGAAGCCATGAGGGTGGGGCCCTGATCTGATAGGATTGGTGTCCTTGTAAGAGGGAGAGTCGCCAGAGTGGGGAAAGGTGGGGACACGGCAAGGAGGCGGCCACTCGCAAGCCAGGAAGAGAGCCCTCACCTGAAACTGAATTTCCCAGGACTGTGACTTCAGACTTCAAGTCTCTAGAACTGTGAGAAAATAAATTTCTGTCGTTTAAGACACCCAGTCTGTGGTGTTTTGTTATAACAGTCTGGGCTGACTAATACAGAGGGGAAATCCAGGTGGATCTCAGAAGACTCCCTGAGGAAACAGATAAGACTCTAGAGAGGCCACAGAATCTTAGGACAGAGCATGAGAGAGGAGAGGGCTGCAGGGGGTCCCCTGAAGTATTTAGCAATCCACTGGCCAGCACCTGTGCAGGAAACTCCCTAAAGCCTAGGAAAAAACCACACTAAAAAATCAGAGAAAACAGTGCCTGGTACATGTTCCCACCAGGCAGACTGGAAACCTCACCACTCCCAGGGCATCGGGCACCACCTCAGCCGTGGTTTACTCCACAGGAGGAGTCATTTGTCCTAGACCCAGTCCCACTCTGCTGCTGCCTCCAAAGTCTTACAAGCAAGATCTGAAGGATCAAACTGTTTCCAAGTAATTTAACTTATATAAATATAAAAAAAGATCAAATGTGCAAATTAGGCAAAATCATACATAATGAGAAGAAAAATCAATCAAAACTGATGCAGACTGCCGCAGATGTGAGAATTACAGACAAGAGCATGAAATCAATTCTTCTAACTGCATTTCTATGTTCAAAAGTTAAATAGCGGCTCGGCACCCGTAGCACAGTGGTGACAGCGTCACCCACATGTACCAAGACTGGCGGGTTCTAACCTGGCCTGGGCCAGCTAAACAATGACAACTGCAACAAAACAGCCAGTAGTCCCAGCTACTTGGGAGGCTGAGGTAAAAGAGTCATTTAAGCCCAAGAGTTTGAGGTTGCTGTGAGCTGTGATGCCACAGCACTCTACCCAGGGCGACAAAGTGAGACTCTGTCTCGAAACTTAAAAAAAAAAAGTTAAGAAGAAACAGAAGATCAAAGAAAAAGAGGTACATCTCTGCCTCAACCTCTAAAATGGGTGTAAGAAGTGGCGGGGTGTTGGAATGAAATGATCCACATGAAGCGTCCAGCACAGCGCTGCACAGAATTAGTTACCTAAACGTGGTAAGAAGGGAAAATGAATACTAGGAAATGTTTTGTAGAAGAAATTCCTAACTGACCATGTCGGAGACAGTCGGTGGGACTTATCACAGGTACTCTCTGCCCCAAGTACGTGGCACCGTTAGACGCAGCCCTGTGTGGGCCAGGTGCCGGGCCAGGCTCACATGTGCTGAGAACATGTTTATCAGGTAATTTCCCAGACACAGGAGGCTATGAGGCCTTGGTGTGGTCAGGGAAGACTTGCTGGAGGAGGTGAAGAGGAGCAAGAAGGATCCAGCAGGTTGTGGGGGTACAGGAGAGGAGGGGAGCATTCCCAGCAGGTGACACCACACTTGTGCTCTGTACTCGTCTACCCACCAGTTACCCAAGAAAGCCAAGCAATGAATTTCAAAAAGCACATATGTCTAAAGCTACTTGGAAACATCTCCATGAGGATCTGTGGGCAAGGACAACAGAGCTGGTGCCACCCCAGAGGCCAGGGAGGCGGTTTCAGCTAAACACAAAGCTGGTCTATAACCAGCATGGGTTCCCCACATGATCGTATTCAAGCAAAGGCCAGAGGGGGTTCCATTGGAGTAGCTACAGGGCATGGTGGCACCAGGAGAAAGCCCAGAGGGGGCGACCCACAATGCTAAGGCTGAGAACTCTGCCAGAGGCCACGAGCCCCCTGCACGACGGAGGCACTGGGAATGACACTGCATTGCTTCCTGTGAGTCGCCTGCAGGTCACACTTTCAAACCACCTTTCTCTGATCTTTCCTCCAGCTACCCCCTTCCCCAAGGCAAGTTGTGTACACTGGTGACACACTATTTGACTCTGGGCAGAACAAGGACATATATTTTAATGTAATCACATAGTATTTATTTTTAGATTCACCTATATGGTAAGTGAGGGATTCCGGTTTTCCATTTATGGTAGCAATCAAAAGTTTCTTTCAAAATACATTTACTTAAAAAAAATGAGTTGGCTTGGCACCCACAGCACAGTGCTTATGGCGCTAGCCACATACACCCAGGACAGCAGATTTGTAACTGGCCTGGGCCTGTTGAACAACAATGACAACTGCAACAAAAAAACAGCCAGGCGTTGTGGTGGGCGCCTATAGTCCCAGCTACTTGGGAGGCTGAGGCAAGAGAATCACTTGAGCCCAGGAGTTTGAGATTGCTATGAGCTGTGATGCCCAGGTACTCTACCAAAGGTGACAGTGAGATTCTGTCTCAAAAAAAAAAAAAAAAAAGAGTCAACTGAAAGAAACATTAAGTAACAGGGCCAGCAGGGCAGCACCTGTGGCTCAAGGAGTAGGGCGCCAGCCCCATATGCCAGAGGTGGAGGGTTCAAACCCATCCCCAGCCAAAAACCGCAAAAAAAAAAAAAAAAAAAAGTAACAGGGCCAGCGGCACATACCCAGATACAGTAAAAATGGAAATTGGTTTTCTTTCTTTTTTTTTTTTTTTTTTGAGACAGAGCCTCAAGCTGTGCCCCTGGGTAGAGTGCCATGGCATTACAGCTCACAGCAACCTCCAACTCCTGGGCTCAAGCGAGTCTCCTGCCTCCGCCTCCCAAGTAGCTGGGACCACAGGCACCCGCCACAACGCCCGGCTATTTTTTTTTTGGTTGCAGCCGTCATTGTTGTTTGGCGGGTCCGGGCTGGGGATTCGAACCCGCCACCTTAGGTGTACGTGGCTGGCGCCTTAGCCGGTTGAGCTATAGGCGCCGAGCCAGGAAATTGGTTTTCTAACAACTAATGTTGGGAAAACACTGCCAGATCCAAACAAACTTTGTCTATCAAACTGGCTTTTGGGAAAGCATCAGGTCACCAAGGAAGAAACAGCCAATGGTACCGTGTGTACCCTGAAGTGGGACCAGCACCAGAGTCTGCTACGCACACACACAGGTGACCCCAAAGGCCGTGTAAAGCCGGGTGGCCTGGGCACCTTGCACAGCTCCTGGCCTCAGGTGGCTGTGCTGGCCGGAAGCCCCTTCTCGGGGGAGCTGTCCTGAAACCCTGGCTTAGCCTTGGCACATGCACAGTGTCCCCACTTTGCAGCAAGCCCATGTCTGCCAAAGGCTCTGTGGCCATCTGACAAGAAAGTTTCTTGGAAATGAAAGAGGTCTTCCAAATATTTCGTGTTGTGCCTGACACCTTCTCTGCTTGTGGGGAAAATAAAATTTTGTGTGTGCACACACGCACACACTCAGCTGGGCAGCAGAAATTCCTCCTCCTCAGAATAGGCACTCTCAGGACTTCCTGGGCTGGGGCTTTGTGGAAGTGGCTTGTGGAGACGGAACCAGAGGAATACATGGGTCACTATGAAAGTTTTGAGATAGACTGTGTTATGGGCCATTATGTCACTTCCAAGAAACACAGTTGAGTGTCCTTTCTGGCTTACCTGTGCAAGTTTCAACTGGCTCAGCTTATCAGTGCTGCTGGGAAGGCTTCATTTGTTTCCACCCACGTGGATTGTATGTTTCTTGCTTTTTGCGTATCTCAAAACTTTTGAAATGACCCATGTATACTCCCTTGGAGGAGGAGCTCTCATCCAAGGGACAGCAGCTGTGGCTCTGCATGACAACCTGACACCTGCATCAGACAGAGCTCCGGAGGGCTGCGTGTGACACGGCGGCAGCCTGGGGCGCCTGGGCAGCGGTGCCTGTCCGGTCCAGCATGTGGGACCCCGGGGACTTCACAGTGCTATTGTCAGTGAAGGGCAATAAGCACGAGAAGGAGCAATTATTGCCAAATCATTTAGGATTTAAAAAATCACTGGCAAGAAGATAGAGGTCAAGAGGTGTGCTGTCAAGGGAAATAAAAAACTCTACCTGTCAGGCCTGGGCTTCGCTTCCCTTCTGCCTGCCACATGGTGGGGGGTAGAGACGCAACCCAAAAGGTCAGATCCCCCCCACCCCAAACCCAGAGGTCCAGAGAGCCAGAGGGAGGCTCCACAGCCACTGAGGCCGGTTTCTGGTTTGGTCCCC